AGGGTGCCTCCAGCAGCCCCAAACAGTGGAAACCTGGGAAGAGCCACAGTGAGCTCGCCAGTTGGTCCATCCTGTTGGCACAGGGGTGTGGCTCTGAGCACCCTGGGAGCTGGCTCCTGGTCTCCTCCAAACATGCCTTATGTGCAGTTCCCCCCTCGGCTGATTTTGCTTTGTACCTTTTCAGTACAGTGCTATGATTGTTCCCAGCAAATCACTGAACCCAAGGGTGGGATGTGGGGCTCTGAACACACCTAATATATGAAGGACTTCTGAAAATAAAGAGGTTGAAAACCAAACCCCCACAGAAAAATGGGCTAGTGAAATGAAGAGACAAAAAACAGAAATGCCAATGCCTCGTAACCATAAAAAAGATGCTCACTTGCCCACATAACAATATAAGAGAGTCAGACTCAAACTACAGTTAAGATGTGTCATTTCTGCCCTTCTGGATTGGTAAAAATAATAAAAACTGATGATATACCGTTACTGAAGCTGCAAGAAGACAGGCTCTCTCATACATTGCTGCAAACACACACCACTGAGTGGGATTCAACACTGGAAAAATCACATCACACATTTACTCTTTGACCCAGAAATTCCACTTCTAGAAATGTAACCCAGAGATACTTCAGGAAAAAATATAGCAAGATGGCCCTGGCTGGTGTAGCTCAGTGGGTTGAGTGCAGGCCTGTGAACCAAAGAGTAACAAGTTCTATTCCCAGTCGGGGCACATGCCTGGGTTGTAGGCCAGTTCCCAGCAGGAAACCCACGAGATGCAACCGTACATTGATATTTTTCTCCCTCTCTCCTTCCCTTGCCCTCTAAAGATAAATGAATAAATAAATCTTTCTTAAAAAGAGACTTCTTTAAAAAATATATAGCAAGATGTATGGCCCTGGCTGGTGTGGCTCAGTGGATTGAGCGTTGGTCTGCAAACCAAAAGGTCACTGGTTCAATTCCCAGTCAGGACGCATGGCTGGGTTGTGGGCCAGGTTCCCTGTAGGAGATGCACAAGAGCAACCACACACTGATGTTTCTCTCCTACTCTCACTTTCTCCTCTCTCTCTAAAAATAAACAAATAAAAAATATATTTTAAAAAGGTATCTATCATTGCAGCCTTTTGATAATAGCAAAATGCTCAAAAAACTGTGGGGATATGTCTAACGAGCACCAGCAACAGGCTGACTGGGCTCCAGTTGGCAAAATCTGAAACAATTTAAGCATCAGAACAAATAATGACCATAACAGATAATAACCCACTGAATATAGTAATGACATAATGGATTTTAACCCTTTAAGTAAAATATCAATAATAACCTAGGCAAATAATAAATAAATGGAGGCTATGGGAAACTGCTTCCTGATAGTAAGATGTTAATTAATAAATGTGGATAATTCTAGAGCTGTTTTTTTTAAATCACAGTTTTACAACACTCACTGTAATAACCGCTAAAGGCAAGAATCACCAATGGATACCAAAACTAGTGGGTGAAAGTTTAAGGAACAACAGGGTCTCTCTCCACAGACGACAGTACTAACAGAAAGGGAAACAGGAACCAGACAGAGAAGAAATCTAGTGGGCATCGCCAAGTCCAAATGACCCAAGTGGACCTTATCCTGAGCAAGGCAAAGCACGACCTTCAGCCTTGTGATGAGATGAATGAGGTTGGGGGATCCCGGGGACAGCACCGCGATCACAGTTAACTACACTGTCTTAGACACTCGGCAGTGGCTGAGAGAGCAGATCTTCAGTGCTCTCACCACAAAACTCAAATGGTAACTATGCGTCCTGATGGGGTGTCAGCTATCGCTGTGGTGATGGCCATTTTGCAAGTATACAAATGTTATCAAATCAACATGTTCTATACCTTCAACTTACCCAGGTAAATTACAGGTCAGTGAAACTGAGGGGAGAGAATGCCTTCTGATGGGATGCCCTAAGGACTGGCTGCCAAAAATGTCAATGTCTTGAGAGACAGAAAATGGCTAAGGAACTGGTCCAGTTACGTGAGACTGAGAGGACAAGATGATGACCAAACAGCAGGTGTGCCGCTAGGGGACAGGGAGGACAGAGTCCACAAGGCATATGTGGGGGTCATGCATGGGAAACGGGGCTGCCTGCAACACTATCGTACAATGTTAACTGTTCTGGTTTCCATCCTTGGTCTGTGCTAATGCAAGTTCCTCGTTCTCAGAAAATACACACTGAAGTACAGTTCAGAAAATAATAATAGACATGGATATACAGGGAATGGTAAACCAAATGTTAATAGTTGGTGAAACTGGATGAAGAACATGTAGTTTTTTGGGTACACTTCTGGCAGCTTTTCAGTAGATTAGGAAGTTTTAGAAACAGATTTTAAAAATACAGAATCTCCATTTAAAAAGTTTGGTTGTGAGAAGTGAGACTAGTGTTTGTGGATGTTCTCTGAAAACTATGACCCCAGCAATGCCCAGCTTTATCTTTGGATCGGGCGGATCCCACAGCCCACGCCATCCTGGCCCCCAGCACAGGGGCTCGCACCTTGGTCTCGGGGTTTATCAGACAATGCTAGGCCACCAGGATGAAATTCATCTGCTATAAAAACTACTACTTACTACACTGTTTACTAAATCATTGGAGTCCACCATGTACAGTTAGATGTGAATATTCTTTTAAAAAATTTTTATTGTTGATGCTATTCCAGATGTCCCCAATTCCCCCCACCTTTGCCCCCTTCACCCAACTCCCTCTTCCCCTCCCCACCCCCCGCCTTCACATTCTTGCCTGTGCCCATGGGCTGTGCATACATGAATGGGTGGACCTGAAGAGCATTATGCTAAGGGAAATAAGCCAGTCAGAGAAACACAAATGCCATATGATTTCATGCAAATGTGGAACCTAAAGAACAAAATAAACTGATGAACAAAATAAAACCAGAGACATGGAAACATGGAACAGACCGACAGATCTCAGAGGGGAGGGGTGTGGGACGGGGACTAGAACAGGTTAGCCAATGTGAAGTTTTCCTTTAGAATTTAGTACTAGAGAAAGCTCTTTCACCTGAGAAACAGGTATTTCTCTCGCTTTCCGGTGACAGAATTACATAGCAAAGATGACTCTTACAGTTTGTCAGACAGGAACACTGAGGCCAAACGTGGGGCTGGACTACCACAGCCCCAGGCCTGCACCTTCGGGTGACTCCCCAGGCCCATGCTTTCCCTTGGTCCTGGGCATTTCTACTCTGTGTTTACCCCTTTTTATCCTATTTGAAGGTAAAAATCCATCCAGAAATCATTTAAGGTCTCTGGGAAATGTGAGAACTACTAAAATGCTTTAAGTAAATGTGGGCTCTTTTAGGCAGCTCCTTCTGGCCATCCACTGGACACTGGGCATACATGACAGACCACAGTCCTTCCCATCACAGAACACACCTATGTGACACCCACCGTCAGATCCCCTGACACTGTTTCTAAGTCTTGATGGCAAAGCCTACAACAGCCTGAAGACAGCATGACTTTGAGCCACAAAATAATGACATCCTGTAGTTCTGTCTCCAAAAGAGCCAAGTTACATTGATCACTGACCTCAGAAGGTCAAAACTTCTGAGGTCATTTTAGATATTTATAGCAAGGATGATGAGTCAAGTTTCCAGCTTACTAATATTAAAAGTGACAAACCCTGTGGGCATTATTTTATTGCTGCTACCAAGAAATACTTTGGATTTCAACAGTCCGACAAGACCAAAAATACAAAAGCAAAAATTGCACATGCAAACGTGGGGAAAAGTGATTTCCCCCTGTGATTTGGTGGGTAAGGGGTGAACACTGATAGTGGGGAGGAGGGGATGGGCCAGGGAGCCCACATTTGGGTGGGGGGTGTTAACACCAATCCTGACTTTGAATTGTTTTGGGCAGCAAAATGACCTCTAAAATAAAGTCATAATACTTCTGGCACAATGTGTTTTTCAAAAAGATTAAGTCCAAGCCAAAACGCAGGGGCTTTTCTCCAGCCTGTAACCACGACTGGTGGCTTCAGCAGCAAAAAGAAAAAAAAGATCAGTAGGAGACCAGTGGCAGCAAATTAAAGAAGACACCCTCACAAGGTTGTCAAGGAAACCAAACCAAGTGCATTTATGAAAAAAAAAAAAAAAAGAATCAGGGCCACAGTGAACACTCATGGACTATTTTGTGACAAAAAAAAAAAAAAGATCAAAATCCCATCTTGAAAAATCTTTTGAAAGACTACATTTCATTTCAGGTTATTTTATTATGTACCTCATCTATAAAGCAAGCAGGCAACCTTGAATTTCTAAACTACCAGCTGGTGGGATTCAGTAACACCTTCCAAAAATCAGCTAAGCTTGGGCCAAGAGAATACAGGAAATTTCCGAAGGCCTCTTTTGCCTATCTTGACATCACAAGAAGCAATCACACTAAAAAAAGTAAAGGGGGGGAACCCTATGCCAAAGACAGGCTTTCTTAAATTCAGTCTATCTATTTTTCAAAATGAAGCCTTTTTTTTTTTTAAAGAGAAAGGGCAAGTCTACGCAAACTATAGCCAGGGCTTAACCTGCTAGAGCTCCCAGATCCTGGCAGGCAGCAGAGTGCACTGCAAAGCAAGGTGTCCCCTTGGTAAATGCTGTAACAGCCCCCAGGATTAAGTGGCTAAGAGTCACCAGCCAGGCACAATGACGTGTACCCGGGGACCAGGAGAGGGCCAGTGTTAAGGGCATTAGGAGGTGAGGACACTGTTAGGTGTGCCAAGAGACTGGGAACACCTGAGGGTCTGCATGCACCTGCCTGAAGCTGGCATTCCGGGGAGGCTGGGAGGTTAGAGGACGCTGCCCAGGAGGAGAGGGGACGGTGAGGCGAGTGGACCAGCTTCTGCCCTGACTCTCTCCTGCTCAAAGGGAGCGGCCTTAGGGGAGTGGGGCAGGTCACCTCCATCTGCACGGGGGTCACCAGGACCCAGGTGCAGGCAAGGGAGGGTGGACCCCGGGGCATGTGGTGCTCTTACCTGGTGCCACAGTCCACCATGCAGGGAGTCAGGGGTCCAGAAGGCCGAGAGGCAGGGAGGCAGTGAGCCCACAAGCCTGCCATCCTCTGCATGCATGCTGCTTGGCCCAGGTGGGCAGCCCAGAAGGCCCCGTGAGGCCAGCTCCCGGCAACCTCTGCAACATGGCCTGTGAGCCCAGAAGCTTGGTGGCCACCCATGTGATGCAGCTCTGGCCAGTCAGTCAGGGCATGGGCATGCCCTCAACACCTTCCATCTTCAGTGCTGGCAGTAAGGCCTCATTACCCACACTTCCAGCCTTCCGGCTCTAGAGATGGGGCTATTTTTAACTGTCCTACAGTGAATGTGACCCAGTTTCCGTGACCTGGCCACTTTCCATCCATTAAGGCTCGGTTCCAAAGTCACTGTCTCAATGAAATTGTCTCCTTCCCATACCTTACTGTCTACCAAAGCAATCTATTGCTTTCATTTACAGTGCTTGAAGCAAATATTTAAATGTAATTATTTGCACCTGGTCCCCCCTCCTGCTCCACTCGGATAGGGCTGGTGTTTGTTTTACCAATGGTGACCCACATTGTTCGTGTGTGCACAGTATTTGTTGCATCCATGGAAAGCACCCAGGTGTCTGGTAAATGAATGAATGGATAACTTTAACCATAAAGAATATATGTATAGGTGTGTGTGTGTGTGTGTGTATATATATACATATATATATTAGAGCATATGTTGTTAGACTTACAATACCTAATGGAACACTGAATAATTTATTCCTTAGAGAAAAAATATGCAAAAGGAAATGCGTGGGCAGCCTTAAGGAACGAATGATCTTAGACTGAGTTAACACCACACCCACATCATTACAGGAGAGTTTTCGAGTATTAAAAATGGAATGGTCCAAAAGTTCTCACTGAAGCCAAGGACCAAAGCAACTAAGCACCCACCACATTGTAAAGTGGGAGTGTCAAACTCATTTTCACCAGGCGCCACATCAGCCTCGCAGTTGCCTTCCAAGGGCTGAATGTAATTTTAGGACTGTATAAATGTAACTACTCCTTAACTAAGGACAGGGAGCTTGGCACTCCTGCCAAGTACAAACAAAATGCCGGGCTGGATGAAACAAGGTGGAGGGCCAGATTTGGCCTGCGGGCCTTGTGTGTGCCACCTGTGATATACAAAGTAAGATGGGAGCTGTGAACACCAGTAAACCCACTGAAGTAGAGAACCCACCAACAGAGGAACCACCAACAGGTAAAGCCTATATACAGCAAGAGAGCCCACACAAACACAAGAAAAAGCTACCCTAGAACATCAGACAAGCTGATCAAAGAGACCACAACACTGAATCCCATAGAACTCATACCATAGAATTTCATCCTTCAAAGACAGCTAGCAAAGCACAGCATCAGGAAGCACAGAAACAAACAAAAAGACCCATTTAAACTGGGGAAACAAAGAAAACAAATCTGCAAACAAAAGGAATGGAAGACTCTCCACCAAAAGAGATCAATGAAATGGAGAGAAGCAAAATATCAGATATAGAATTCAAAAGAATGGCTATAAGGATGCTCAAGGAACTCACAGACAATTATAAGGAACTGAGTGAGAACTACAATAGTATGAAAAAGGAAATAGAAACTATAAACAAGAACCAGGAAGAAATGAAGAATACAATTTCTGAAATAAGAAACACACTAGAAGGAATTACAATCAGGCTGGATGAAGCAGCAGACTGAATTAGTGACCTAAAAGATAAGGTAAAAAGAAACACCCAGGTAGAGCTGTATGAAAAAAAACTAAAGAAAATATGAAAATAGCTTAAGGGAACTCTAAGACAACATGAAATGGAACAACATTTGAATCATAGGAATACCAGCAGAAGAAGAAGAGAAGCAAGGGAGAGAAGCCCTATTTGAAAAAATAATGACAGAAAATTTCCAAACCTGTAAAGAGGAAAAACTATGCAAGTTCAGAAAGCACAAAGGGTCCCAATCAAGATAAACCCAAGAGGCCTACTCCAAGACACATCACAATTAAAATGTCAAGTTTTAAAGACAAAGAGAGAATCTTAAAAGCAGCAAGGGAGAAGCAGGAAGTAATGTACAAGAGAGCTCTGATAAGGCTAGCAGCTGACCTTTCAACAGGCATACTACAGGCCAGAAGAGAATGGTGAGAAATATTCCAAGTAATGAAAAACAAAGGCCTTCAACCAAGATTACTCTTTCCAGGGAGTCTCTCAACTAAAATGAAAGGCAAAATAAAGAATTTCCCAGACAAAAGAAGGCTGAAAGAATACACCTCTTCCAAACCAGCACTGCCAGAAATGCTATAGGGACTGCTATAGGATAAGGAAGAAAGAGTGAGAGAGAGGAACACAGGTACAAAGGGGGTAAAATGAATAAATACCTATCAATAATAACCTTAAACGTTAGTGAATTAAATGCTGTAATTAGAAGACATAGAATGGCTGAATGGATAAGAAAACATGACCCACACATATGCTGCCTACAAGAGACCACCTCAGAACAAAACACCTACACAGACTGCAAGTGAAGGGCTGGAAAAAATATTCCAAGCAAATGGACAGAAAAAAAAAGCCAGGGTAGTAATACTTATATTAGACAAAATAGACTTCAAAACACAGACCATAAAAAGAAACCCCAAAGGACACTTTATCCTACTCAAGAAAAGAATTTATCAGGAAGACATAAACATTATAAATATATATGTACCCAACATAGGAGCACCCAAATATATAAGGAAAATCTTGGAAAATTTTAAGAAGGATATAGACAGCAGCACACTTATACTTGAGATTTTATACCCCACTGTTAAAGATGGATAGATCTTCCAAACAAAA